TGATTATCATTTTTTTCTGCTTCTGGTCCCGTGTTGCGTGTGCTTTCCGTTCCAAGTGAAAGTTGGCACGCGTCCAACTCGAGAGAGCGGGTGAACGAGACGCACAGAAATAAGTAGAAGCGGCAGACATGGAAGGAAGTGCCGGAGACAACGGCACGCCTTGGCTGTCGGCCAAACGCGCAACAGTTTAAAAAGTAGGCGTCACCCCCGTAAGGGCAGGACATGTCAAAACAGGGCAAAAACAGCACAAAACAAGACAAAAAGAAGAGGGGGGTTGGAGAAAGTGGTGGAGGAGAAGAGGAGCATGGACTTAGGGGCAAACTGTTGCTGTCGCATGACCCTTTTTGCTTAGCATACCTAATCGTGCGGAAACAATCGATTGCCGTTAAATAGGAGGCAATTTGTCCATAATGACGTCATTACATGCAACAAGCAAACAAGGCACAGGGCGTTCCTTGGCCACAGCCAACAGCCACAAAAGCAGAGGCTAATGTCCTCACCCGGAATGCGAACATAAATCAGTGTTGCGCTCTAAACATGGCCAAAGCCGCATACGACCTTTCTCAGTCAGTGCCAGTTCCCATAAGTAAAGAACAATAGAGAGCAGAAAAGAACAGAACAGAAGAGAACATAATAGACCAGACCAGGCCAGACCAATGGAAGAGCCGATGCAGAGCCGCCTTGAGTAGCCAAAAGCGTAGCAAATTTATCACTTGGCCAGCTTAATGGCTCTTGGCCCAAACAAAAGCGCATTACAAAGCGTTTAGCGTGTTTTCCTCTCGTTTTTTTACATTCCACTTAATCCCCCTGTTGCGGACCGTCTGCACGCGTGAGTGTTTTTGTTCGAGTAGTGGTTAGTGTTTGGGTATGTTTGCATGCGATGGCCATGCAAAACAAATAAAGCGAAAGTGAACAAAGTGAAATGGCCGACAAAGGTGAAGTTATTATGGCCCGTACAGGTCCAGGGACTTAAACCACCACGAAAATGAAGTCATAAGTGAATGAGTGGGTGAATAAGAGAGTGAGTGGGTGAAGGAATAAATGAGTTAATGAGGACAGAGCAGCTCTAACTAATAGTTTCAGAAATTCCCTTTCATAATGCCTGTCCTTGGTGGCTAATCAAATGTTTCCAAATGTTATTTAAGGCTGCCCATGCATGAACTTTTTTAGCTTAACACGTGAACACTTTTTGCTATTTCTTTTGATACAATTTTAGTTTCTTGAAAATGAAATTAGTTTAGTGCCATAAGCTTTTCGTGGAAAAAATAAAGCGAAACACAATTTAAATTGAATGTTATGGTACGTTTTAACTTATTCCTGTGGTTTTAGTCATGTTTTCCTTGATTTAATTATTCAGTGAGAGTTGTCGATGTAGAGGTAAACGACAGGCCAAGCGAAAGCTTTGGTTTGTACATATCGACGCAAATCATCGCTGCACGATATTTGATGGTTTGGTTAGATATATTTACACATAAAATAAATCAAATTATGCCATTCTAACCCACAAAACCGTGTATCATAATCTACATAATAAATGCTCTATTTCGCTAATTTTAGAAGGTTTTCATAATATTGGAGAAGTCGATTTTCAATTAAAATGGTTTGCCATTGGGGCATCCTTCACGTGTTCCACCACTCACATAAATTGAATTTTGTTTGCCTCACACCCAGTGTTTGCGCTCCCTCCGCCAACCAACTTTCCTTTTTGGCCAAATGTATGCAAATAGAAATGTCGCACATATTTCATAATTTTCATATTCATCGCCTGGAAAGTAATTTGCATTTGCTTTTTTATTATTTTTTTTTATTTTGTTGTTGTTCTTATACTTGTTTCAGTACAAATTGGTTGCCATTTCTGTTTATCATGCACGGAAATTTGTAGATTGCGTGAGTGCGTATCCATACATACATATGTACACATGCATGTATGTATGTATAAAATGATGTGCCAAATTAGCTTGTTTGACATTTCAATGTGCAAATATTTGGGGAAGTTCGAGCAAGTGGCAAAAGTTGAAAACGCGTTGAAAACGCGCGAAAATGTCATAGCCATTGCGTTACGCATTTCATGCCCGACTGCAGTCGATTCGGCAGGCAGAGCTTTAAGGCTGTACGTAACGTACTTGGGTGCCACAAAAGCGGAGAGCTTGTCGCTTTTATTCATCTGTCGCTGTCAGTTAATTTCCGTTCAAGTAGCCATTAAAACAATCATGACGCCGCTTAGGCAACTTACCCTCACACGCACACTTAAATACCCATACACACACGCACACACATACAAGTAAATACTCGGATACATACATATATAGGAGAAACGCCATTTTATGGGACGCCATTAACAGCTTGTTGTCGCAGCAGCCATTTAATAATAATAAAATGGTAAAAATCCAAGAGAAATAACTCAATTATATGGCCAGACGAACGGAATGAAAGGAAGAATGAAGGGCAGACAGACGGACTGGCTGACGGAGGACTTGTCAACGCTGCTGCGCTGCTTTCTACAGACCCACTCGTGCCAGGCTAATTACAGACTTGGCTATTCGCTTTTTTGGCTTCATGTGGATTGGGATCCTTATTAATATTGAATCCAATTAATCCTCCCCATTTGACTCCACTAAGTCTCGCTCGCTCATAACATGTGGCGCGTGTCAAGCCACCATAAATGGTTTTGACTTCTGGAAAGTTTGTCAAAAACTTTGGATCTCGCCTCCATGTCTCTGGCTGCTGGCTGCAAAGTCAATTTGTTGTTGGCAAGACCTCGACTGAATTGCGCAATTTGCACCAAGCACCGCTGTTCGGAGGAAGGAATGATGCTACTTCCTGGCAAGTGACTGAGCTTCTGTGTGTAACCCGGTGAGCCCTCATTGATCCCCAAAAGAACTACCCGACATTAACGTTTTGTTATTTTACTTCCATACTTTGGTTTTTCGGTAATTTTATACTTTAATTAATTAATTTTCAAAAGTATTTTTTTCTTCTTCTTTGGGTTTGATGATTTTTTTGTTTTTAATTTGATAGTTATGCACTTTTAGTATCATTTTCATTCACTTGCACACACTGTTGAGCACAAATATCAATCGAAATGCACTCTGCTTTCCGACAATTGCTTTTGTAGGTCGTTTCTCAACAAAATATCCTTCGATTTCAGCAATCTGTGACCCGTAGCCACACAACACATGCTTTTCGAATATTGTTTTCGAGCGATACGATTTGAAAATAGCTCGGTTTGACATGCAGCTACGCGACTGGACTGCTTTCGCACACTTCGGCATTGGGATTGGGACTGAAGCCGAGTGGCACAAGGCACGAGGCACCAAGGAAGCGGCGCAGGCTCCCAAACAGCGCCACAGGGAAACCCACCACAGCGAGGTGAGTCCTGGAGGCGCCAACAGCTGACTCGGCCGAATGCCGGCAGCTGTTATTTGTCCGTCTTTGTTTACGTTTTTTTCCCCACAGAGAGACTGAATGAGAGAGAGAGAGAGAGCCACAAAGCTCCAAAGTACAGGAACAGCGACGCTGTTAAAGGAAAGCTTTCTCCTGCTGAATCTGGAGCTTTTCCGAGCTTAACCGAAATTCAAACCGTCTCTGTTAGACTTGGAAACTGCATAAATTAATTCTCAGCATGTGAACAAAATTCAATTAAAACTTTCTATTGACAAATTAGCATTCGGAATGGGTTGAACCGACAGAAATGCTGTTGAAAGGCTCTTTGGAGCGGGTCCAATCAGTGACTGTGGTGTGGTGTGGTAAGGATGGCAGACGTTTCAAGGCCAAGTGGGAGACGAGACCCTTGAGCTACCCTACCTGTTGGCTGGCATATAAATCTTAACTCCAGACCCGCACGGCTAAGCATTTTAACCTTTGGGCACCCTGCCATGCTGGCACCGCACTCATGGCCATCAATCATTTGGGGAGCACCATTTCATTTGGTAGTCGAGTCAATCTTATGAACGCCACCTCAACCAATTACCCCACCAAAGGGGATGCAAGGATAGCCCAGCACAGCACACCTTTGTCTGTTTGCTCCGCAGATAAGACTTACCACAAACAGCTCCATCGTAAGTTATGCAGAGGGACGCACTCGAACCCAACCCAAATCCAACCCAACTGGAACTAGAACTCGAGCTAAAGCTGATGTTGAAGCTTGTGCTGAACTCATGAAATATTTATTTATGCGGATGGGGCCCGATTCGGATCCGGGGCCTAAGACTGATTGAAATGCCGTAGCCAGCGATGCCATTAGGAACCGCAACGAGTTCATTTGTGCGTCAGGGAAGGCTTCATTCTCTGTCTTCTCATTTGTTAAACGTTTTGTGAGGCTGTCGTCGTCGTCATACGAGTATGTATCGTGCCCTGGATTTGCTCAATAATCAATCATAATGAATGGCGGCGTGCAGGTGGGGCAGGTGGAAGGCGCTAGGGAGGCGGACAAGGGGCGGTATTCCCACACACGAAACAACAAATTGGCAGCCAACCCTAAAATTTTCCACTGACTTACACCTCCATAGAGAGGCCGCAACGGGAAATGGAAAGTTTTCTCTTTTCCCCCGAACTTTCCAACTTTACCCAACTCAGAGAGCCTGACACATATATTTATTGCCAATGCCTTTGTTTCGCAGCTCCATTACGGGATGCGAAAGTTTCCCTCAAAGTCATAAATGCATTGAACTCGACTTCAAAGCTGTCTCGACCCCAGCTTTAGGCTGAAAACTGTTGATAGGGGTTTGGTTTCACATGTACCGCGTTTTAAATCTTTACAAAGTGCTGTCGATTGAAAATCCCAATCGGAAATACAAATGTTTATCTGTTTAGTAGAATAAACCTTTTAGAACGTGGTATTAAAAAATGGGTATAGTGCGGGACTTCCTCGACCTTTTCGTATTACAAACCATCGCTTTGGGAATATTGGAATTACTTACAAATCCCCTTTTTAGGGTTTTAAAGGTGAAAATGATTGTATTGTTGTATTTACCTGAAAGCAGAAACAATGATAAAAGTTATTTTATATTGCATAGTTATTTTTATTTTATTTAATTTGTGATTTCATAAACGTTCAAATAGCTTCAATTTTGTTTGGCATTCGATTTGAAAATACTTCAGGGGGCGCAGCGTCGGCACATAAGCATGCCGACCCACACTCCCAGACCAAAGCAGATCAGATGGGTCATGCTGGCTTACTGTAGGGTACATAGTACATATATATATTAAATGCAAAGAAAATGAATCCCAGTTATCTGGCACTTACGCGAGTATTCTTGGCTATGAGGTAGCCCACGATTCCACCCACAATGAAGGTCAGAAAACGCTGCATTTTATTGTTTGGTTCCCAAATCCTATTCCACACCTAATATAATTTCAAAATTACAATTTTGTGTTGCCACTGGGCCGGACAGCTATCGACTAAGATATGAAAGCATATGTATTAGCAAGGCATACTTTGACTTTTTGTAAAAATTACAGTCAACTTTTGCTACCCACCTATGTATTTTTGGCAATCAAGTAACCCACAATACAACCAACAATGAATGTCAACAGCCACTCCATTTCCAGTCTCCTTTCCTCTATTTTAGGCACCAATAAAATCAGAAATTATTCGAAAAACTCCCTACAAGGCGAGCAACTTGGTTTGAATGATTTTTCCGTACTCGTTTTGACTGCTAGTTTAGGCAACGCCTACTAAATGCGAATCGATAAATTACTCTACGTGCCTCCTTCTGTATGAGCAACTAGAGAAACTAGAGCACTATATTCGATCCCTCTGGAATTATCAGGAAAACCACTAAATATGCGGGAGTCCAACTCCGCAGCTAGACAGAAAATAGAAGACGCCAAGTGTATTTGTTCTATCTTTATTTGTACGTTCTGCTTTATTAATTTAGTTTAGTATCCAATTTTGAGGCCATTTCAGGGCAGCTTTGAATGCGTGTCAACATCGCTTGCAGAGCATCAAGCCAATTACTATGCCCAGGGCAAAGGAGATGACGTGCGTCATTTTGCTTAATGGATCGGGAGGCAGTGGAGATATTTGCTCGGTTCTTGACTTTCAATTTTGATACCTTCGAGGTGTACCAAGGCGCACAGCTCATGCTGAGTAATAAAAGAGAGGCCTTCGATTAGTACCGCTGATTCCAGGCTTAAGTTGGTGTTTGCTTTGAAACCTAAGTGTTCTTAGCTAGCAGATAGCCCACCAAACAACCAATCACGAATGTAAGCACCCAATCCAATTCCATTCTTGAAACAACAATTTTGTAAATTTTCTCTACTGTTTTCTATCCAAATGAACAGAACGAATGAGGCTAAAAGACAGCTCTGAGCCTACTCCCAGTTCCCAGCTAGCGGGAATATTCTCACCTTTCTCTCAATAATTCTGGCCAATCAAATAGCCAACAATGCAGCCAACGATGAAAGTCAACAGCCAAGAGCTCTCCATAGTTGGTGGTCAAAAATGAACTGAAAGATAAACGATGTACGGCTATCTACAGTCTCCGATCTTCATCTAATTTTTATTTACCTTTAAAACTTTTTGCCAACGATGTAGCCCACAATTCCGCCCACAAGTAAGGTTAGGAGACGATCCATACCCGAAATGGCAGTGAGAATTTTGAGGATTCCAAAAAGGTGTTCGAAATAATTTAGTGTACGAGTTCGAGTTGTAATACAAATTGCTGGAATAATGTAAAATGATCGGCCAACTGTATGGGCGGTGGAAAACAGTTTCCCAAATCTCTTTTTAGGGAATTTGAAATCAATGTCACATTTTCCGATTGCTTCCCGTTCATTTTAAAAATTGTTTTCAGTTTGGTCTCATTTTTTTGGAAACTTAGTTTGGGTGAAAATTTTCTTTTTTTGGTCAATATCTTCTTCTTGAGCCCAAAACAAAATGTGTAAGCGTCCGAGTTGTCCTCCGCCAAAATCCAGCTGTCCGCCCAAGCCGTCTCCGCCGCAATGCAAGCCCGGTCCGACTCTCTGGTCAAAGCTCAACTGTGTGCCCTGCAACCGACTGTTCTTCTTTCTGGTGGGTGCCGGCATTGGGCTGTACTACGACCAGATGAAGAAGGACATGCAGAAGTCCCAAGAAGAAGCGGCCAAGCAGGTCAAGAAGACCCCCAAAGAACTGGAGAAGGAGAAAAAGGAAAGCGAAAAGAAGGAGAAGGAAAAGAAGGAGAAGGAGAAGAAAGAGAAGGCTCAGCAAGAGAAGGAGCGCAAGGAGAAGGAGAAAAAGGACAAAGAGAAAAAGGAGAAGGAGAAAAAGGAAAAATGAAAATATTCTCGCTCAGAGCATCTTCCAGTCATCAACAAGAAGATGTCTTCCCCAAACTATAAATTTCCAGTTAAAATTTTAATGCCAATAAACAAAATCTGAAGGCCAACTTAATTCACCGTGAAACACACACAGCACGAGGTAGATACATATACATATATAGATTCGTGCAGAAATATATAAGGGCGAGGGAAGTATCCCCCATACAGAATGTCCATAAAAACCGTGCATCGGTAACGTCAGTAGCTTAAAATCTCTGCTTAGTTTCTATACGATGGAGCATATTAAAAATATCAATTAGATACGGGATCCAAAGAAACTTTTATTTTTTAAAACAGCTGAATTTAAAAGAGTAGATCGAATCATTGGCACAGTCGTATAAATGGATGATAAATGGACCGTCAGACGTTACGAGAGTTGCTCGATTGCTGGTCTTCTCCGACTTCGATCCGTGCGCTCACTTGATTTGTAGATTGATTAGTTTCTTGCTTAAAGCTTGCTTTAAAAAAAACCCCCAGAAGACTCGAAGATTCTTGGCTTCCAGAACCATACTGATAACTCCATCCAAGTGGCATCGATGCGGTAAAGAGCTTGGGGAAGGGCCTTTGCACCATCAGCAAACCATCCTTCTCGATGCAGCCCTCGTAGCATAGATTCCTAGCTAACCGCGTCACCTTGAGGAATGAGATCAAGAGCTGCTTGGCTCCGCCTCGTTTCAGGGCCAGTGGTACGGCCGGACTACTTTTTCTTCTTGTCAGGTTCCGGTACCTTGAGCTTGTCGCGTACAAAAAGCACACCAGCTCCTACTCCGACCATAAAAAACAGCAGTCGATTGCATTGACGGCAATTAAAACGGGCCAACAATGACCGATGAGCCCGGCACGGTCTGCTACAGGGCATGTTTCGAGTTCCTCCCAATTTCGATCTGAACATGTTCTAATTTAGAGCCAAAATTTGTTTACAATTCCAAAAAAAAATACATGGAATAATTTTGGTTGAAACAAAAAATGAAACGCTGTAGATGAAAGTCGAACGAGAACTGAATAATGCCGACATCTGTTAAGCCAGCTGGTTTGAATTTTTTGTCTCGACGACTTAGTTCCATTGATTGGCCCAAGCCCAAGCCTGTCGGTAGAACGCGAAAATATATTTAATTTCTGGGTTCGGTAGTCAACGAATCCTGCCAAAAAACAGGCTAAAAACTAAACTAAACTTACAGTCAATAATAGTTGATGGTTCTGGAGTAAGTCTCACGGTGGAAAGGAAGTGTGTTTCGATTACTTCTTCTTCTTGTCGTCACCCTTGCCCTTCTTCTCTTCCGCGGGAAAGGTCTTGGCATACCACATGCCCACAATGGCACCCGCACAGATCGCGGACACACGCTCACACAGCATATGCATTTTGGTGGTAATTTATCAAATTGCTTGCTCACTTTTGAATTTGTATAAATGTTCGCCAAATTGTAATATTGTCAGATGTTTGTGTGGGTGTGTGTACCGCTCGAATGTTATAACTGAATGTTTCCCAAATAAACGAATACTTCAAGCAGAAAATGGAAATCTCGTTGCCTGCTTGGCGAGAACTTTTGTCACAAAACAGAAAGACAAATTAACAGTCGTCTCCCCAACAAAAGCCAAGTTCGGTGTCCACGGCTTAGCACTCTCAGCCGCAGATAATTAATTGAAGGATTTCGCAAGCCAATTTAAATAAGCATTTTGGATTAGGTCTGTCCCAGGCAAGCAGTCAAGCATTCAAGCCGCCCCTGTCCTTAAATTGTAAATAAAAGTACATTCTGATCTCCCCAAAGCGCAACTCCCATTCTGATTATTGTACTCGCTTTCTGAGAATGCCACCAACTCGCATTTCAAGTATTTTTGTCGGCTTGGAAGTGGCTACACATGTCACAAAGGTTGATTTCTCAAAACATGATTAAGATTACGTATGTTTGTATGTACAACGCTGCCAGTATTTACAATACGTGCAGAGTCATACCCCCATTTCGCAATTGTAACTTAGGAGCATTTACTTTTTGGTACAAGTCTGCTCTGGCCCACTCGAACAGCCAACTCCCTTAAATTTGAGGTTTGTGAATGTGAATCACCCATATTTAAAATAAAATATTCGAGTTTTTTATACGAACTGCGAAGTTAAATGTAATTCACTTTGATTTAATGCCCTTATGTGCATTAAATAGTATTTTTTATACTATGACATTACTTACTATAAATATAAAACACTTAAGCAAAAATATTATAAATTAACTTAGCTGGAAAAACCTTACATTAAATCAAACTAAATATGAAATATTTAATGTAAATATGAAATTTTTTTATTTCTAATTGAAAACACTTTTAAGTTTAATATGGCAATGCTTCATTCTCTGGGTTTAGAGTTACATTATTGTTGAATTTCTCCAAGCCACATAGTGCTTAATGTTGTGGTCGCACTCTAAGGCCTCACAGATGCCAGAGTGTGCGGCGTGAGGTGAGTGTCAGTCAGCAACAGACGAAACCCAAGAAGTTAGGCACTTTTTCGATTTCGCTGAGACAGATGAAACCCGCTTTCGATCCCCATGGTAACCCTGGATTGCCATTTTCGGAGAAATGGTTAAAGATTCGCACGGAAGGTGCGAAAGCAATTACTGGTAACTGGCAGCCAAAAATATCGCAGACACGTGTAGGTACTACATTCGAGACTAAGAGTTTGGCGTCATTGGGGCACGGCACTGGCACTCGACTCACCTGGGTATCTGCAGCGCAATCTCGTCCAGGCTGTCCGATGGACTCATCGGCGTGCGCTCGAAGAGTCGCGACGGGGCCAGGGTCAGGTGGCCGGTGGAGTCGCTGACACATTTAAAGACCTTGGCCCCACGACGCTGGCGCTGCTGCTGGCGCTGCTGCTCGACGCGCTTCTTGCGCTTGTTCTCCTCGGCACGCTGCAGGTTATGCAATCGAAAGAAGAACATTGACATTCTGCGGGCGATTGGCAGTGGGCGGTGTATGGATTGGGTGGTGTTGGCGGAGGCGGAGTCGATGGTAGCGTTGATGTTTTTGATATCCGCATAATTTCGATGTCAATTTTTGTTTTGGTTTTATTTCGAATGTTTTTTTTTTTTGATTGATTTACGTTATTATTTTGGTGCGAACATTTTTGATCCGAAAAGGGTTTTCGTGTTTATTTGTCCAATAATGCATTGTATTTTTATTATTAATTAAGCAAAACATTTTATGTTTATTTTTCGTTGTCGTTGTTCAAGTGAGTTATTTTGTGGAAAATGATAGAAGCACGTAGAGTTTTTCGATTAATGTGTGCTGCGATGCATCGCGATGCTTGTGTCACAAAGTCCGGTTGTAAGTGTATGTGTAGGAGAGTATGTGTGCTTGTGTGTTGGCATCTATTTTTGGGAGCTTTCTATACATACAAAAAAGTACCGTAAACACAAGCCAAAAGCATAGGAGAAAGATTTGAATGAGTTTCGCAAAGGGAAATTCGTAGCATGCATGAATGAACAATCCGCACTGTTATCCCAGCACTAGCAGCTGGATATTTTGTTGTATCCTGCTCAGTTAAGAAAAACACACAAATAAACAGTTTGTTGAAGTGGATGTAAAATAATAGAACATTGAATAAACGAAGTAATAAAAACCAAAATTTATTTATACATGGTGCGCAAAAACTACATATTATGATGGCCGAATCAGAAGTGAAAAATTGTTAGTGGACACATTTCATAACAGATCGATGGGTGTTTCCTGATGTTATTTTCAACATTTGCAGCCATGTATTTTGTACAATTTATTCTTGCTAAAAGTATTTTCTGCTATATTTTGTAATCTGCTCAAATGCTGCTTCACATGGCATATCCAGTTTTGGGATGCTTTCAAAGCTGTAAGGCCACAAATTTAATCTCCGCAAAACAGAAATCGACATCAAGAAAATGGCAAAAACAAAATCCAGCAAAATCGACACACGCTCGAGGGCGCAACCAACTTCCGCAGCATCAATCAAATTTGAAGTGAAATGGCATTTCGCTCAAAAAAGGCGGAAAGTGTACTGCTAAGAGAGGGATGGGTGGAGGGCGGAGGGCGGAAGGAGTGGTTGGTAACTGTCCAAGCAAACAGACAGCTCAAAGCTGAAAACTAGAAATTTTTCTCTTCCCATGCCGGAAATTGAAATATGAACCACGTTCTGAGCGGGTTCGTTCATTTGCAGAGCGCTGCATTATGTCTCTGGATACAGCAGGAAGCGGCGGAAGCGCCATGGGTAAGACCGATTCCCAAGCAATGTAGCTCTCATTAATTTGGTATTCAAATGTAACCACACTGAGCAAAGCGCAAATTGATTGATTGATTGATTGATCGGCTGCAATCAACTGATTTACAAACACAGCTATATGGATGGGGGAAGGATTCAGTTTTTCTTGTCATCAACACAAGATTTCCGTACAATTAGCAAGGCGAATCCCATCCTTAATGAGCTGGGTGGAGTGAGAAACTGGGGGAGCAGCTGCTTCCACAGTCTGTGTCAAAAATAAATTAATCAAAATTTGCATAAATTTGTTTTGGTCTGGAGACGATGTCGCGTTGTCTGCTCCAACACTTCTCCAAACACTCTAAATGATTGCGCACCCGAAACTTAATTATAAATGCCATTACAGTGGTGGTATGGTGGAGACTGTACGTTGCGGTGCAGGGTAGAACAATTAAAATGAACTGAAATTCCAAAAGAGAGTACTCAGCATCATCATTGGTCAAGTCTAGTAGACAGTTTCGGCCAACCAACTCTAATTTAATGGATGGAAAGCTTCAACTAGAGGCATTCGCTGTAGTCCCATGTGCTGTGAATGCAATGAATAGAGACCATTCGCCTGATTTCTGATTGCTGATTCTGATTTTGAGCAATTATTTATAAAATTCCATTCGACGATAGATAGATAGTACATCTGTACTGTAAATCTGTACTGTACATATGTACATACATATTATATGATTTTTGTTGCTGAATAAACAGCCCTGATTGAGGTTGAATTCCCTCTTTCTCGCTATTCTTCTTCACGGCAACCCATGGTCCAACCCTGTTGCATGGATAATCTACTAATTTGTTACAGCACAGAATTACATAACACAAACAAATTGCAGAAAGAGACAGTGACAGGGAAAAATAAAGTGTAGCAGACAGAGACACTTTGGTCACAATCCACCTCTTATTAGTGCTAATGATGTTCCAGGCTGTCCAAACCACAGCTGGCTCCATAACGTAATGCAATTATATTTAAATTTAGACAATTCATAAAGTACTCTGCCATATTTCACGAATGTAAAAGACCTTCAGCAGCCCGAATGCTCAGATGATATGCGGCGCTGGATTGTTGAGCGGAAAAAAACGAATTCGTTGCACTGTGCGGCCAATTCCATGGTAATTCCACTGAATTAGAGTTGACAAATGGCTGGTCCTTTGTCCGTCAGTTGCCTATGCAATGCGCTACATGCTGCAGCTGTCGCTTCTCCTGGTTGGGCTAACGATTGTGCAATCGGAAGAGCCGTCGCTGGAGCTCAGGATGAGAAAGCTCACCAGGGAAGAAAAGTGTAACCTGAAGACGACGATTAGTCGGGGCTTTCGGTCCGTATGCCACCCCCCGATTTGGGTGTGGGTCAACAGAGGTGGCAAATGCAGAAATGGCCTAACTTGCGTTCAGGGTTACTCGAAGCGAGATGAATGCATTAAGAACTGCATTAATTTTTCCATACCAACTACTGAAGCAGAACCAGAAACAGAAACAGAGCCAACGATACTAGTCACACTACCTGATCCAATACTAATTGATGCGACATATAGCTCGGTAAGAACCAGAAGAACGAGAGGAACTACAATAGAGAGCTCTCCATTAGCTATAAAATAAATACAATCACAAAACTAGAAATAAAGAAGAAAATCTCTGAATAATGAGTATTGTATTGAATTGATTTAATATAATATATGTATATACCACTGCTAGTCCATCCCATAATACTATAAGAAACACCTGTTCAACCTGTTCCAATCGGATAAATGTGCCTTTTTCCCCTTGAGATCATTTGACATTTTGAGCGTGTATTTTGCTCCTAATTAAGAGTCTTTATGAAGCAATTTCAGGAGGAACCCATAAGCCCGGCCCGTGAGTTGCTTACCCAAATTTGCAAATCATTTAGGCAGCATAAAATCCGTATCCCACCAGCATCAGCTTTGTCGAACATTTTTTTACGACCATTGAAAATCGTCGTAAAAGAGCGAAGAACAGCCAAACAATGTGGGAATTTCCCGAAAGCGAACAATGCCGATGCAGGAAGAAAAATAACGAAAGGAAAGTAATAATCATTAGGGCCAACAAAGGCCTTTTCAGTCACGGTTTTGGGGTTTCTGTTGAGATTCCCTCTATCGGGTTGAGTGCGTTGCCAAATGCTGACTAGGCAGATCGACGTACAAAAAAATGTAGGGGGGCGAAATGCCAAAATAAACACTTGTCCCTGGCGAACTTTGGAGTGGGTTGTGTAGTGGAGTGGCTCCAGCAGTGGTGTTGGCGGTGGTGGTACGGTATGGCCGCATTCCAACCACAAAAGTGAATATTTTCCAGCTCAGCACGCGTTTACGCGATGGTGCGTGCGGCTCAGGCTCTCCTTGTCCTGAGACCATTAGCCATGTGAGTGGGACAGACCGACGGACAGACGGACAGACGGACGGCAGACAGGATACAATCTTTTCACGGTCCTTTGGCCGTGCCTGGCTAGAGCGTTGAGGGGCCTGAATTCCCCTCCGTCAGTTACGCAATAAAAATGTAGACAATTTTTACGACACTGCCCGAACAACACAAGTGGACATTCCACTTTTATTTCTTCATTAAAAAGCCGTATTGATTGCCTCACGGAGGGTGGGGAGCGGAGCTCGAACGGCGGAACAGGGGAGTGTGTCTGCCGAGTGGACCCTGAGGACCTTTGTATCCATACTTTTATTATAGTTTGCCACACAAAGGGCTTTGCCAGTGACGTTATTTGATTTATCAGTATTGAAATTCATTTCATTCGTTGGCTTTTAACATCTTTATATATATACCCGTATACGTACATGGCAACCGTGGAGTACTAGGCAATATTGGTTTCGAGTATATGTATTTAGAGCAGAAAAATAAACAAAAAGATCCACCTACCCAGCAAAAAATCGGAACTTTTGGATTAATATTACAGCAAGCAAAGAGAAAATATGCTTGACGGAACTAAATTGTCAGCAGCAATTAAAATAAAATTATTTAAAGCTTATTTACTGGAATTAATCGCCTCAAATAAAATTTCCCTTCGAGTAAAGTTTGAATAGTTTGAATATTAATTTCAGGGCACTCAGACCTGCCGAAAATGGTTACAGTTCACCTCGGTCAGAGAATCAACCTTTCTGTTTTCCGAATATGGCTCGAATATTCGTTGGATTTCCGTGACTTGATTACTGGATAGAGGAGCTAGTGGATAATGATCCGCAAAGGGTGCAGCAATTTTTCAGCGCAAATTGATGACTCCCAATTGGATGCTATATTCATTTTTCTTAACCCCTCGATTATTAATTCTTTACCCATTAATTCAAAGCTAATGGGTCCCATTCCAGAGTGTATAAATATGGCCGCGAATTAGCTGCTGCTTAGCAGTCTCCACAATGCACCTCAACAAGTCGCGTTTCTACAGTTGGTTAAGCAAATTTCTGGTCCTCAATGGCCTGCACACCTTCTACTTCAGCTTCAAGCTGCAGAGATTGGTGGACTCACGCATGCTGCGGGCATATAATCTGATCCACCACTTTCTTTGTGTGATGGCTGTGGTGCGAATGCTCTACATTTCGCACGAGAATCCCCGGGTTTGTATCTCCACCCTGACAATGTGCGGCACTACCGCCTGCAACATCGTAACATGCTGGCAGGGGCGGCACCTCAGGAAGGTCTTCAAGCAACTGCTTCATCTGGATAAGAAATACTTTAAGGGTCAGCCGAGTGGCTACCCGCTGAATATCCGATACTACATGAAGATGCTGCTCGTCGTCATCACTCTGACGCGGATTCACATCTTTTATCCTATCTACATGAAGTCGGTGTTCTCCTCCCTGTTCGTGTTGAATGTGGTCTCGTACTGGCTGCTCTATAACATGCTCCTGGCAGCCGTCCTGGAGTTCTACAGCGTGCTGTGGCAGATGTGTCGCAACTATAAGCTGATCAACGACCAAATGTCGCAGCTGCTGGCCAGGTCAAGGCAGAGGAACAGAGCGGTCAAGATGAGGCGGTGGCTGCATCTCTACTCGAAGATGCTGCGGATCACCCAGCAAGTGTGCCGCCAATACGAGAACTGTGCTATCTTTGTGCTGGCCTGCAAAAGCTGGTTCCAGATTACCTTCGGCTATGAGATATTCGTGATGCTGGCCGCCCCAAAGTCCCTTGACTTGAGCCTTTCCATGCGGATCTTTGTCATACTCAGCTATCTCCTGGACGCCTTCAATCTCTACTTTGGCACCGATATTGCGGAGCACTTTACCCAACTGCGAGAGGATTCTTTGCGTATTATGCGGGAGACAACCCGAATGGATCGCTTGGTGAGGAGCGACCCATTAACCATGGGGAAAATAAATCCTATTTGGTTATGTATTTCAGCTTTCCGTGTTCACGCTGGAGCTATCGCTGCATCCCAAGCGCATTGAATTTCTCAATGTCTTTGCCTTTGACCGAAAGCTGACTCTGACCGTCATGGCCAAGTCAATGCTGTACACAATCTGCTGGCTGCAGGCCGACTACATGACTCTGAAGCGTTGAGCTGTTTACTCCACAGCAGAACCGAGCCACAGCTCCAAGTGTCATCAAAGTTCGTTCCAATAAAGCCCTTCTTATCTGTCAGTTTATTATGAGCAAGGGTTCACAGCGAGTTCTCCTGTTGTGGCAAGCATAGAGCAGAAACCAAAAGCAAAACACATGCACAGCTTCCACAATACAAATCTCTTTATATAAATATATAATGGATGAATCAACAATGTATCTAAATTCAAAGCAGTAAGACCCAGAGCAGGACCAAGAGCAGCTATGTGTGTGTGTGTGTGTGCGTGTATGTGTGCAGCATGAAGATGAGGATGTTGATTCGGTTGGGGTACGGTCCATGCTATGCTACAACAAAAGTAATATCACAAAAGCAAGTACAATAAAATGTGTCGACTTAAATGATACTCAGTGGAGAGCCGATATTTGTATTTGAACTATTTCTCCATTTGAATCCTCTTTTCTTCCCTTGGAACCTACTCCTGTGACAGTCTGATCTCCAGATTCTTTGTTTTAGTTTCCCACTTTCTTACTAGATTTGTGTCCCCCCTTTGAACTCCACTTAGGTTCCCTTATGATTACAGGGTATCGTTAGAAGCCATCCAAATACGAGAACAATGGATTCCCTGCAGCGAAATACGTATGTGGGATGTCTGTGCCTGGGTTCTGTTTGTTCGTGACTGTCTGTGTACGTGCTGCCGAAGGATTGACATTTTAATTCGATTTGCCATTGATAGAGATGAGTGCCACTCTTCAGCGCTGGCCGGGTCCCATTTTGCAGTGTGAAACTTGTGCAGCAAATAAAAGTGATAACTGAAAATGGAGGATGGAGGATGGACGTCGATCGAATGGGCAAAAGGTGAACGAAATCAAGGAATAAATCAAATAAAACTTACTTGTGGAAACCAATTAGCTAACTTGCTGTTACGGATGCCGCTTAACCGGTGGCTATGGCTGGTGCTGCTCTTATTGTTGGTATCGCTGCTGCTGCTCATGCTCATGGTGCAGCAAGGTAGGTAATACTTATATAGCTAGGAACAGATTTGTACACACAAAGACACACACATACACAGACCACATAAATGCATTTGGAACACATCTACTACAAAGCTCCCAGAAAAGATTTGCTCGTGTTGCGGTTTGAGTTCTGTTAAGTTTTGTTACGGTTTGTTTTGGTTTACCTGAAGTTGTCTTTTAGTGGTTCGGTTGGGTCTCAGCTAATTAAAGTTATCTAAATGCTGCTTGGTGATTATTGTTATTTAAGCATCGGCACGACTTTGGTTTATTTATTCGAGACGATCCGAGTATAGGTATAGTTTGAATATGTATCTATAACTACAGCACAGTCTACACAGTTACACGTTCAGTTACACTTTACACAAAAATTGACGGGCAAGAGACAGAGTGTTCTGTTTGCTCTTTCCTCTGGTCCTAGTTGACTAATTTAAAGCTTTTACCAATTTGCGTTCCATTCTGGTCATATGTACACTTATAATATAGGCTAATTATACGTTAGAATTAGATTAGAATATGGGCAACTGTTTGTTTCGTTTCATCTGCTCTTTAGAATTGGCGATTTTTTGGTCCGCTCCGTTGAGTTGATATTTAATTATATTTTACATTTAGTTGATTATTATATTTAGTTGGTCAGTTTCGGTTTAGTTAAATGTAAAGCTGTTTTATTGGACTCCTGTTGATATTTATTGTTTGTTAATTTTTTTGTTGCACTGCTGCTACTGCTGTTGCTGTTGCTGGTTGTCCTGCAGAAAAAGATAAATTGATGTTCGGGGAAAACTACGGGTTGTTGTGCCACTCCGCATCGACTCAAGTGTGCCCTGTCGCTGTCGCCCGGCGACTGCCTCCCCAGGGAGAGACATAGCATTTGCCTGCCAAATGAAATTATGGCCAAGATATTTTGCAATAATAAAATGAAAGATAGGAGAGCCCTCCTGCTCCTGATACTGCTCCGCCTTTGGTCTGGGACACCCGTTGAGAGCAGAGACAGAAGCAGCTTCAGAAATATCTCAAGTTCAAATAGTACGTGCCAGGCAGAATTTTTGCCATCTTTGTGCCACTTAGTTGTTGCCACTGGCCACAGCCACTGCAGCCAGCATAATTTGAATCCACAGAATGGCACAAAAAGTGTTTAATTTAATTAAACAATTTTGCCCCCCAACGTTTAAGTTCGCTCAGCTGGAGGCTGACAAAATGTCAAGATGCGGAATATATATTTTAATATTGTTTAATAATTCCATTTGACCAGAGCCAGCCGACTAATCTACGAGCAAACGACCTGGAATTTAGCTCTGGCTAAATTTAGACGTACCCAAACAATAAAATCAATAAAAAGCTACATAGAAAATGGCTCACATGACTCGGTTGTCGTTGGGATGGATGGATGGTCGGTATCACAATCACACGGTAGCGAGAGGTAACGAAATTTCGTTGATTATTAGTTTTGGAGGCGACAAGCAGTGGCAGTTGCAGTTGCAAGTAACAATACGCTACACACACACACACACACACACACGCAACTGGAGCTTTTTCTCCATCCTTTCTTTGTCCCAGTTTCAAAATTGAATTTATGGCCAACACACACACACGTCGCACACAACTGAAACAGCTGGTGCCTTGACAGTTTACACTCTCCGCACACGAGCAACTTTTCGGCTGGAACAACAATCCCCCCCTCACACTCCCACTTCCCACAAAAAGCCAACACACAAAAACCAAACCCAACCCAACCAAACCCAACCCAATCCCGTCGAGGGACTTTCCCCGAACAAGCTCTGGGCATATGGGTTTATCTTGGAGCTTATTGCTCTCCAAATAGATAGCCAGCTACGATTTTTTATGCCAAAAGTTCAAAGCAATTTTTAAAGATCAAAATGCCAAACAGCGACACAGCAAAGGAGGTCGAGATGAAACCGCAAAGGGACCGGTCCGGAACCCAAGCAGAGTCCAAGCCACAGAGAAATCATTTCGTTTCAATTTATTTTTCGATTTTCCATTGTTTTCCAATTGTATAGAAAATACAGCACATGTTAGTTGCTGTTTTGTCACCAAATCGGAATCTGCTCTGCTATGCTCCGTTTCACAATGCCTTGTCAAATGCTGTGCTGGCATTTTCACACCACACCCATACAGCTACAAGTTGGTAATTTTCCAAGAGGATTCAAAAATGACACAATATTATTCTCCCAAATTAGTCTATCTGTCTGTCTGTATGTGTGTCAGACTTTCTTTTCGTGCCGTAAGTAATTACAGGCTTAATTCAGACACTCCCACTTCTCTGATTGCGGCTATTTCCTTTTGAACTTGGCTTATAAATAAGTCGAAATAAAATTCCAATGAAGCACGGCTAATTGATTTAAGTGAGTGCCAAAAGTTTCAGACCCGAGACATAGATCAAAGTAAGTTAAATATATTTGTAGGAACTTATCAATAATGATTGAATAATAGGGATATGCGCTTCAAGAGAACTTCTTCGTTGAGCGTACGTACATATGTTCCATTAGTTATTTACTCGTAATTTTATTAACTCGAACAATGAGTTCAGTATTTCAAATTTGCATAAATCAGACTAGCACTGCTATGGCTGTTGCCCATAAATAACGAACTATATAAAGCCCAAAGACGAACTCATTAATCACACGAAGGAGGGAGCAAGGAATTTCAGACTTGGACAAAACAAAGCTAACAATACCCTATGTCAATGAATATGATCCATTTGTACGAGAACGTGTGGTTAGGTATACAATTGTGTGGTCTAAGGGAAAGGTTTTGCAGAGGAGGCAAATTTTTAACAAAACATATTTATAGTTAAAGGTGCACCCAGAATTCAAATGAAGATGCCAGACACAGCAACGTAACAGTAACGAGTAGGAAGCCGCTTTGGTGGCGATTCTGCCTGGGGGGCAATTATGAAAAATCTCACTAAAATTAAAACTATGCTGAGTCCAAGCTGAGGACGTTTGTCAGAGGAAATTTATGTTTTGGGGGGGACTTATGGGCAGGTCTGAGTACTGAGCACGGCCAAAGAAATGGCAACAGAAAAGTGAAAGGAAAATGGCCCCCACTTACTTTAATTGCTGCCACGTTGCTTGGGTCCGGGTGTCCGGCCCGTGCCCGTGCCCGACTACACAAAGGAGCAGGATCCGTGACCGGACTGTGGCAAAGCTGGGGAGCGGCTCATGTAATTAAAGCAACGCGGCATTCACTGCAATAATGCGACTGGGTGGGGGGTGTTAACTTGGTCAACTGGTGCTCCTGCCACTTCTGTGCTCGGTGGCATTTCACGCCGCAGTCTTTTGCGGAATTTTTGGTACTTAATTGGGCGCATTAACTGACAGACCGAAACCGTAAGAATACTCCATTGATTGCTGGATGGATGGTTGGTTGGTTGGCTGGCCATTCAACATTTTTCACTCAATTACTATCCCTTTCTCTCTTACTATACATCCTGTGTGTCATAATTGCCACTAGCACTAGCTAAGTGCTGAGTGTGCCACGAACTGGCCATTTAGCTTCAGTTTCATTTAGTTTAGTTCAGTTACTTTTTACTTTTATAAGAGTTTTTACCGCACCGCATCGGGGTATGGTAAATGGAAAGCTTATGAATGTTTAAATAACTTTCAATTGTGAGAAAAGTTTTCAATTTCGTTCTAACTTTTGCCATCCGCTGCCAGTTACATGTAAATGCATTAACAAACTTTAATTAATATGAAGCCAAAACCCGTATGCAAGTGGGGATGGGGAAATCGATTATATTGGGCTGCTTTGCAAAGTTTTCCCTTTAATGGACCCTTGAGCAAAATGTTTCGACACTTTCCCCAAGAAAGGGGCAACGTGACGCATTCGCAACAACGTTGCATGATGTATGACTGAGGCACTTAGGGAGTTGTTTCCGAATATCTAAGGAAATTTAAATTGAATTTAATTATCTTTGGTTTTCAACAGATGGCAGAATTATTCTCATGAAGAATTTAATATGGAAATTCCAGTGGAATCAACACAATTTAGTATCCAATAGAACTTACTGGCATCCCTGGAAGCTCGCAGTAAGCCCGTGATGCTTGGTATGCATATTAAAGCACTAATCTTTAACTGTACATTCGCCCAGCCATAGCCATGGATATGTTAGGGCTGTGATGCTCACGTTAAGTAATTCCTGCGGTTCTGGTTCTCCTTTTGATAGACTGCAGAAGCATCCGCCAGAGATACAGGATTACACCATGGTGTCCTAACCCCTAATACAAAATCTCTATACTCTGCAGCCCCACACATGCCGCACAATTTGCATGCGTTTGTCAAATCGAATTGAAACGAAACGGAACGGAGCGGAGCAGCCGGGATAGCATGCGGAGATGCAGAAATTCGAGACTCTCACGGAATAGCTAACGCAACGAAACAGAATAAAGCGGAATCCCGCACTGGCAGGAAACAGTGGGGCATGTGCTCGGCGATTAGCAACCAAGAAATGGTGGAGATGATGACGAGGAGTGCCAGAGCTTAGCTCTGAATGGGACGGAAAAGAGGATGCGCATAAAAATGCAGTGCATCGCCTGGCAACGGTAGAAATGTGTCACTGAGAGTGAGCGGATAAGGGCTCTCTGAAGAGGATGGGGCCCGTGGAGCACAGAGGGTAGCACTCGACAAAATGCTCGTTGGGCAAACGTAAAATGACTTTAAATGGAAACATCGTTTTGTGTGTGTGTGTCTTCTCTTCTCTTCTCCTTTGCGCATCGGGCTACGTGCCACTTGCCACTTGAATGTCTCTCCGGTGGGACCAAATGAAGTTATGCAGTATTTTTCATTGATTTCCTCTGTTAAAGCCAATAAAGTGGATGCGAGGGACTGCGACACGATGCTACGGAGTTCGACACTCTCAACGCGCCACAGCAGAGACCGACCTGTCCCCGACTGCAAAGTTGGCGAAGGTACTACGTGTACTTACACAAATTAAACGTGTCAAGATGGGGCTCCACTCGACACTGGGAAAACACTTAAGCGGCATAAATGTGTGGCTGCATGGCTGCATGGCTGCCTGGCTGCCAGGCTGCTCTGCTGCACTCCAGTTGAGCGACTTGATGCTCTCGACATGCAACCCAAATGAGTTGGCTAATGTAGCCAGGAGCCAGGAGAAATGTGGTGGGATGAGGGGGAATATGTGGCCCAGAGTCGCTTAAAATTTGGACAAAAGACAGAGCAGCGTGGCCCTGACAGGCATGATGTGGATTTTATGGCTGATTTGGTTGCTGCTGCACTGCATTTGCCACACATCAGCAGGCAAGTGCGTTTGGCGACATTACTCATACGCCCCATAAACAATTTAGGGCCAGCCGAGCATACATTAAAGCCCATCCGAATCCCCCTGCCCCTAGCGCCCCGCTGGGGGAGCTCATTAAATATTGAACACAAATTTATGACCGAGCAACCAGTTTCCACTCCAACTGTACAGCTGGAGGAGCGCAATTTGAATGTTGTCCTGCGAATGCGTTGAGCTGTTGCTCGCTCGAGGGTAACGGCAGAAATATGCGCTGCCATTCCTCATTAATATTACAAAAATTTGAATTTTCTGGAATGCATAACAAAACATCCGCAGGAGTTATACGAACACTCGCGCACAGGATATCAAAATCTGGTTTTCCCCTCAGGTTAGAGAGCGTGAGCATCTCCGTCTTCGTCCGTAATAAATTCAATTATTTTAGTCAGTCCTCTCGAATTGACCGGGATTTCTTTTGCCTGGATGTGGGTATAA